TCTTGGGCACAGCTTCCAGCCTGGCAAACCCAGAAGAGGAGGCTTTCTCCCAGTGTGCCCACATGGGTCCCAGGGCACCAGCAGCCAGGGGAGGGGCATGGACTTCGAAGCCCCGGTTGTGTTTGCTCATCTGTTTGCTGGGAGGGAGGAGCAGGCCTGGGCGATGAGGGGGCGGGACCCAGAACGGAGGGCGCATGGACTGGACTTCCCACAAGTGATGCCTCTCTTGAACTCTTCTTGAGCAGAGACAAAACCCACGTCCTCCTGTGAGGCTGGCTTGACCTGTACACCCAGACTGGGGGTCAGGCCACAGGACGACGGTGGGTAGGCAAGTGTGGCACATTCGGGGCAGAAGTCCTAAACGAAACATTGGCACCTCGAATCCAATTAAAAATAATATGTAAATATATACATATATGTGTACACAAGTAGATACATATATATGAGTTTGCGTATCAGGGTTTAGTCTAGAAATGCGTACAGTTTAATGTTTATTTTTTTATTGATTATGCCATTACATTTGTTCTATTCTCCCCCTCCGTTCCCCTCTACCCTGCACACCCCTCCCCCACCATTTCCCCCCTTTAGTTTATGACCATGTGTCTCAAGTTCTTTAGATTCTATATTTCCCATATTATTCTTACCCTCCCCCTATTTTCTATCTACTGTCTATGCTACTTATTTTCTGTACCTTCTCCCCCCTTCTCCTTCTCCCACTCCCCTGTTGCTAACCCTCCATGTGATCTTCATTTCTATGGTTCACTCCTGATCTAGCTGTCCTCTTAGTTTGCTTTTGTTTTAGGTGTGGTTGTTGATAACTGTGAGTTTGCTGTCCTTTCACTGTTCATCTTTTTTATCTTCTTTTTCTTAGATAAGTCCCTTTAACATTTCATATAATAAGGGTTTGGTGATGATGAAGTCCTTGAATTTCATTTTATCTGAGAAGCACTTTATCTGCCCTTCCATTCTAAATGAAAACTTTGCTGGATAGAGCAATCTTGGATGTAGGTCTTTGGATTTCATGACTTGGAATACTTCTTTCCAGCCTCTTCTTGCCTATAAGGTCTCTTTTGAGAAATCAGCTGATAGTCTGATGGGAACTCCTTTGTAGGTGACTGTCCCCTTATCTCTTGCTGCTTCTAGGATTCTCTCCTTCATTTTAATCTTGGCTAATGTAATGATGATGTGCCTTGGTGAGTTCCTTCTTGGGTCCAACTTCTTTGGGACTCTCTGAGCTTCCTGGATTTCCTGGAAGTCTATTTCCCTCTGCCAGAATGGGAAAGTTCTCTTTTATTATTTGTTCAAATAAGGTTTCCACTCGTGGCTGTTCCTCTTCCCCTTCTGGTACTCCTATAATTGGGATGTTGGAGTGTTTAAAGATGTCCTGGAGGTTCCTAAGCCTCTCCTCATTTTTTTGAATTCTTGATTCTTCGTATTTTTCTGTTTAGTCATTTTTTCCTTCCTTCTGGTCTACTCCCTTGATTTAAGTCCCAATTTCCTTTCCATTACTTTTGGTTTCCTGTGCATTATCATTCATTTCAATTAGTTTAGCCTTCATATGTTCCTCTAATTTGTGACTAAAATCAACCAGTTCTGTGAGCATCCTGATCACCAGTGTTTTGGACTGTGCATCTGAAAGTCTGGCTATTTCTTCATTGCTTAGATTTATGGGCTCTGGGGCTCTGAGTTGTTCTTGAGCCATGTTTTTATCTGTTTGTGCCTGTTACGTATGAGGAGCGGAGCCTTCATTGTTCACCAGAGTGGGGCTACCCAGGTCACTGGTTTGTGACGCTGTATGTGGGGGCGGGGTCAGAGAGGGAGCAATGGCGGTCCTCACCGCTCACCCCGGCCTGTTTATCTGTGCGCAAATGCGCGACCAACCGCAGACAGCCAGCTGCGCCTCTTCCCTGTGTCCGCCCGTAGCTAGCCCACACCTGGGATCCGAGCCCTCGGTTGCCTGCACACCGCCCCAGTCGGGAATCTTTTCTGCCCAACTGGCTCCGCTGCTGGCTTCACCCCTGTCACCGGTCCAGCTGAGCAGTTCGTTGTTTTCGGACTCCGTATTGTCAATTTTCTGTGTGGTTTGGTTGCATTTATTGTTGTTAAAACTTTATTGTTTTTAGATTTGGTTGTGTGAGGACACAAAGTGTTTCCACCTACACCTCTATCTTGGCGGAAGTCAGTTTAATGTTTAAAAACAACTGTGCGCACACATACTCTTGGTCAGACAGAATTCCCAGCAGCATAGAAAGCAGCTTTTGTAACTGGATAAATGAATTCATCGAATGTCTACAGTAAACCCATTATTTAACGGTGAGAACACTTCACTGAAGTCCAGACCGAGGCAAAGACACCCGCCACTTCTCACAATCGACGTTTTCCTGGAGGCCCCGGACGGTGAAAGAAAAGAACCAGAATCATGGAACCACGACAGGTTTTTCGTAGGAGACGCCGTCACCATCACAGGGTGAGCGGAGCCGGAGCCCAGAGGAAAGGGCAGGAGAGCTGATGACCAGAGGTCGGCCAGGCCTCTAGGTCGAGGCAAATGTCCCCGATTCGGCAACGACCGGGTTTAGTCAGCCTTGTTTTAAAAGATTATGTTCACAACAGCAGTGAAATCTACTTACATTTCAGAATAAAAATACATCTATGCCAGACCTTTAAATAGAAAGTAATGAAGCCCCAGAGAGTTCATTGCCAGACCTAAAAGACTATTTCCTATTCATGGAAAGGGTCAGAAAGGTGAATTCTCCTGAATTTGTTAAGTCAATATAATTCCAACAAAAGTCAAAGAAGGGTCTTTCCAGAAACTAGATACATTTATTCCGGAATTTGCGTGGAAGAGGAAACATTAACCACCTCCCATGGCTCTGACCATGTTCAAAGACAAGATCGAAGGGGCTTCCACAGCCTTCGTTCGGTTAACTGCTCTGGGCTCATGTGTCCAGAGCCTCCGTGTTTGATTTTCTCTGTCCACGTGGCCCAGACACATTACTGGGAAGGCCACCCAGGACTGACAGTGTCTGGCAAAGGCCAGAACCCCCAGCCTCGACCTCGCAGGGTTCTGGCTGGGGGGTGGGGCCTGCTTTACCGTTTAATCACATCGTTGACACTCAGCCAGAGTGCAGCCTGCGATGCATCCAGAGAGGCAGCGACCACGTGCCAGCCTGAGCGTCTGCTTGTCCTGCAGCAGATGGGAAGTCCGGCTAGTGCCCTGCAGACGGCCCCAGACCAGCCAGCAAGCCCCTGGCCCTCTGGCCCCTGCCTGGGCTGGCAGCCAGGCCACCAGCCCCCTGTGACCGTCAGTGGCTGAGATGCTGGACATGGGAGAAGGGGAAGAGACACAGCCCACAGAGAGAGTTCCTGCTGTCCCCGTATCTGAGTGACAGTCCCCGAGTGCTCCAGACCCAGTGCACCCTCATCTGCAGAGACCCCCTGCCCACGCCACCTCTGGAAAGCCGACTCCCTCTGCACACCCGCTGTGCCCCAGACAGCCTCCTAGGGGGCCCGTCTCCCCACTTGGCCAGTGCTGCAGCCTCGGCCCCCCTCTTCCAGGGGACCAAGTGCTCCCTCAGAGAGAGGGCAGTCTCTCTGTCCCAATGTGCTCAGCACTCGACCCAGTGCCGGTCACTGGGCAGGTGCTCCGTAAGCAGCTGCTAAACTCATGGCTGGAGCAGCACCTTATGGGCCCCGACCTCCGGGCCTGGACTCTGAACCGCGTGGGCCACTGGTGACACAAACACCACCTGTGGCGTCTAGGCCACCATTTCTGGTCTCTGGCTCCCAGTCTCTGTGATATGGGGCCGGCGGGCCTGGGTGGCCTGTGAGCATTTTCCAGCCCTGGAGTCCCCCATCCTGTGAGCACACGGCCGTCCCTGCCTGTGGGCGAATCAAGCACCCGGTCCGCTCCGCAGGGCCCCACGCCCAGGTCACAGACAGTGTGCGCGTGTCCCAGTGTGCCCTTGCGCGAGCACCAGGAGGGCTGGAGGGCTGGGTGCTTGTCCCCACCTGTCCCTAGCTTCTTTCTTTCCTCCGAGCCTCGGGTTCCTCTTCTGTCGAAACAGGAGAGTGGCCTGGCCCAGGTCTCACAGTCGGGGTCCGAGGCACGGGGGCACTTTCCATGACAACATTGTCACTCTGTGATTACACGTCCCGGTGCCCTCATCACGTCCCACAGTTCTCTGGGGGACGTGACACTATTTTGTGGCATTGTGACCCTCCTACACCACTCTCACATTCACTGTGTTGGCTCTGTAGTCCTTAAAAATCCTAAACGTAATCAATTCATTGCCGTGACCGCCCCCTCTTGCTTTGGGGAGCAGGCGTAAGGAATGGCTGAGGACACGGCCGTTTTGTTATCTCCTGTTCTGTGAGGCGACGGGCTCCGCTGGGTGGTCCTGCTCCACGTGACATCGGCAGGGGCTGCTGTGGGGCATCCATGGGCCCAGGTGTCTCGCTCCGCGGCCCCCGGTTGGAGCTGCCTGTCACTGGCTGCTCACCCGAGGCTGCTGTTGACCAGAGCGCCTTGGTTGCCCTTCTCGTGGCTTCTCCGTGGGGCTGGGGCTCTGGCCGGTTTCCAAGAGGCAGGAAGTAGAGACTGGGGGTTTCCTGAGTCTTGTCCTTGGACCTGCCAGTGTTGCAGGATCCAAGGGCTGCAGAAAGGAGCCCCGCGCCTGTTACTGGGGAGCAGTGTGTGTGTGGGGAACGGAGGAACCGTCAGGGAGGGGGATGCATCTTCGGAGATGGGCGGCTGCAAGTCCTGAAAACACGGACCTCAGGCATCCGCCAAACACGAAGTCAGGTGTCGGAGCCTAGTAGTGGCTAAAATGCCATTTGTCTGCCAGAGCCCGGGGGTTCTGTCCTCTGTTGACCACACACAGTGACTCAGGCCAAGCCAGGGCCTCTCTCCGGGCCTCGGTGTGTGCATCTGTAAGATGGGAACACCGGTCCTGACCTGGAGTCCTCTGGCCCTAAGGAGCTCTGCCCCTCTGTGCCCCCAGGTACTCCTTCCAGGACGAGGAGGACATGTTCATGGTGGCGGACCTGCTGCTGGGCGGGGACCTGCGCTACCACCTGCAGCGGAATGCGCGCTTCACGGAGGGCGCGGTGCAGCTGTACGTCTGCGAGCTGGCCCTGGCGCTGGACTACCTGCAGAGGCGCCACATCATCCACAGGTCAGCGGGCTGCCGGGCGGGGGAGGGGGTACTGGGGACAATGCGGGGGGTGCAGGTGCGCCGGGAGCCGTCTGCAGCGGGGACTTTGCTCCTAGACGTTCCCTGGGAGCTACAGGGCACGGGGACCACGGGCAGCGGCACAGCTTGGCCCTTGCTGGGCAGCCTTGCCCACAGCCTGCTGGCTGCCGTCCTGTCTCGGAGGCGGACCCTCCCGCTGCCTGGGCGCGACCCTCTGGCCCTTTCTGACGCTGAGAGACCTGGCTGGTGGCTGGCCTCTGCCTGTCCATTCCAGTGTCTTTGGGAGGCTGGAATGGCCTGTCCCTCCAGCATCGGGTTAGAACGGTCCTGTGCTGTGAGGTGGCCGTGCAGGGGATTCTCCCCTGTCCCTTTCCGGACCTGGGAGTCAGTGGTGCACATTGTGGAGAATGTCTTCCTCTTTGGAAGCTTCCGTGCTAGGGGACTTCCCTTTGGCTGTGAGCCGTCTCCACCGCCTCCTTGGGGTGGGGGAGGAGGGGCAGGGGCCTGGCTGCTATGCACCTGTGTGCCACACCGCCAGGTCCAGCCCCGTGAGCAAGGAGGGTTGACTCGGGCAGAAGTCCGCCAGAGGCCCCTCCCTGACCACAGGGGAGGGCGGGAGTGAGTGGCCTGACCCGCTCGCTGCGCTGCACCTCGCTGACCGACCGTCTGACTCACGCGGCTGTGGGAGACGGGAGGGAGGCGAGGACTCACACTTCCCACGAGGGACAGTAGAGTGAGCACACACATCTGCGTCTCTTTGTTCCAAAACCCCGATTAAATGGCAGTGAGGTGTGTTTGAAAGCAGCACATTTCCAAGGCTGGGGAAGAGTAAAGAGGAGCGGACAGGAAAACCTCGGGGGGTTGAGGCAGAGAAGACACGGAGCAGCAAGTGACTGAGGGTGACAGAAATGGGACTCGAAGTTGCCCTGGGCAGAGCTCAGAGCAGACAGACAGACAGACGCTAAAGAACCCTTGAAAGGCTCAGGAACTGACGGCACCCTGCCCCTCAGGAGGGGGGGTGGGGCTGTGGAAAGAGGGGAGAGTCAGGCAAATTATTTGAAAGTGTTTCTTTAAAGAATAACTTTAACCTGGGAGCCCCAAACACACGACGTTGAAAGCACCGCCCTATTAGCGGGGTCCGTCTGGAGTCACTCGTGCGCGTGGCTGAAAGGTGTCCCGTCTCAGCCACGGCTCGGTGGCCCCGGGCCGTGTCTCTTGGTCCTTTCATTGCCACAGGCCCCGTGCTCTGCGGTCTGCGCAGCCCTGGCTGTGCCAATGTCCCGCCATCCAAACCTGGCCCGCCGGCTTCGTCACCTTCTTCCCATCTCCGCCGTTGGGGGGACCACCATAGGCTGCTGACTCTCAGGGGGCCGGCTTCCTTCCTTCTCATTTCGGGCAGGGGCGGGCGGGCTTTGCCCCACATGCTCACCCTCGGGTGGCTGTCGGATGGTGCATCTGCCACTCCACAGCTGCTTGGCTGTCGCCGGCTCCCCACGGCGGCGGAGTTCAGCCTCGCGGCCCACGTCCACCTCGCCCCATGGCCTCACCCCGTCGCTTGTACAGTATAACCTTCAACCCCCGCCGTCAGAGAAAGGAGTGGACGAAGGAATTTTCTATGCATTGAACTTGCCCCTTTGGTGTAGCGGGGGAGCAGCCATATGACAAAAGCAATGTCAAGTTCATAGAACAGGGGAGGCAAGCAACTGTTTGATCTGCTGCTGTCTTGACCACAGTGCAGAGAGCGAACCGTCCAGCACATCCGCCAACACGTGTGTCCCTTCACGGTTTTGCTTTCGTGGCTTTGTGTGAGTGACACGCAGGGTTCAGCGTCCCGAACACCAGCCGCCTGATGGGGCCCGGTCTTTATGCCCTTAGTTAGGGGACTTCTGTTAAGCGAGATTTTAGGTGTTTCGTTTAGTTGGAATTTTGACGTCGTGGTGGGAGGTCCCGAGTGCTGTGTCTGCCTACACCTTCACCTTGACCCGAAGCCTGAACCCTTTTTTTGAAAGTACTGAAAACCCCAGCGCTGAGGAGTGTGGCTCAGTGGGTTGGGCACTCACTGCACAAAGAGAAAGGTTGCCGGTTCGAGTCCTGGTCAGGGCACAAGTCTGGGTTGTGGGTTCAGTCCCCAGAAGGGGCACTTACGACAGGTAACTAATTTCATGTTTCTCTCCCTCCCTTTCCCTCTCTCTAAGATAAATAAATAAATAAATAATAAAACACAATAGAATAAAGATCTGCTTCCCATTCTGAATAACTGGGCGGCCGGCCCCTCCTCTGTCCCCAGCAGAGGACTGCAGCTCTGTTCCCCAGAGAGAGGCAGACAGAGGGCGTCTGGACTGCAGGGCACCGACCTCCTCGGGACAAGGGCCTGGACTGAAAGCCCGAGTCTAACTCGGCGTAAACAGGACGGGGGCTGCCGAAACACTCCCCCCGCCACCGTTTCCAGCGGGGTGGCGGCTGGTGTCTCCAGCCCTTCCTCCCCTCGGCAGGAAGCTCAAACGATTCCAGTGGGCACGTGAGTGAGCCAAGAGGACAGACACTGCGACTTTGCAGTGTCCCCATGACCCTTTAGAGGGTGGTTCAGTCAGCAAGCCCACTCGCTCACCATAAGCCCCAGCTGGGTCAGCCACAGCCGAGGGTCATCAGGCACCCGGGAAGTCTGATGCGAACACCGGGTCCAACACGAGCACATGGACAACAGAGAGAAGCTTGGGATGAACAGAGACTCTGCAGGGAGAGAAAACCGAGATAGGTATGATCAGCATTTTCAGAGGGATGAAGAAGAATTCTCATAAATCCCATTTGTAAAACAAGAAATACCGGATTTCTTCAAAAACTCAGAGAACAAACATCAGAGCACTTACGAATTAACAGTATGGAAGCAGAAATGAAACACCCAAAGATGTGTTGGAAGATAAAGTTGAGGATGTCCCTTGTACAGTGGGACAAAAAGGCAGATAGGAAATGTAAGAAAATGAGAGGACCAGCTCAGTCATTCCAACACCCAAGAGAGAGAGAGAGAGAGAGAGAGAGAGAAAAAGAACGAGGGGAAGCGCTCAGTGAGATATTGAAGAAACTCTTGTGGATCTGAAATCCGCGGGTTTCCAGGTCGAAGGGCTCAGCACGGACACCGAGCCATGGCTGGAAACAGACCCACGGGGGGCGAGCTCCAGGCCCTCCCAGCGTCCACAGAGCCACAGGTCACACAGGCGGCAGAGCCACAGGGTTTGTCATTTATCAGACGCTCGAAGGCCGTGGAGACGTGCTAATCGATTGAGTCTGTGGGTGTATGTTTTCACAAGTGCACGGTCTCAGAAAATGGACCTCCACACACCTGCTCTCCAGTAAATTTTAGAGAATGAGGCAGACCCACTAAGAGCAAGGAGTGAGTCCCAACTCCCACTGGGGACCTGGCCCACAACCCAGTCCTGTGCCCTCACGGGGAATCAAACTGGCGACCCTTTGGTTCGCAGCCCACACTCAATCCACTGAGCCACACCAGCCGGGGCTATCAAGTGCTTTTTAAATGTCCACACGTTTTGACCCTCTGAGTTTGCCTGCTGGAAGGTATTGCGTCCAATCTGGCCGGCAGGCAGGTTCTCTGCACAAGGCTGTTCATCAAAGAGGTGCTGTGGTCAGAATTTGGAGAATTCTGAAACAGCCTGAAGGAAACAAACTGTGTGCCTCCTTTTAAGAAACCTGAGACTTGACGATGCCCACGTATAATGCTGGCTGTGACACCCAGCGACATGGAAGGTTATTTTTGTGATCTTGGGTGAAATTATAGCTTATCAAATGTCAGGACTATGTAAAGAGATTCCTGATTACTAAACCAAAAGGACGCAGAGGAAGTTTCCTAATGAGCTGGGACTGAAGGGAGAGTCCATGTGATTCTCTATTTCTTTTGCTGTTTTGAAGCTTCCTTGAATGAGTACGTCATCCTTTCAATGAGGAAAATCAAAGCATGATTAACTTTCTCCATGAAGGATGGTGCTTATTACACAGGAACTTCATTTTTTTATCTTTCATAACAGTCATGTTTTATTTATGTATATATTGATTATCTCATATATTTCTATATATACAGTTGCACATTTTTATAGAAGTTGTGCCTTTTTAAAACTGACTAAAATTATCTTCTCATTCACTTATATATTTTTCCCAGGTCCTTTTTGAAAATTCCATATTTGGGAGAGAGTGACTTAGAAAAGCACATCCATATGATAAAAGTTTAGAGCCCTACACATCACTTTAACGGCACCCTAAATGTTGGCACTTTGCACTTGCACTTGGCTCTGTCCCATCTCAGTTCGTCAAACGTGAGCTTCCGATGGGACGGCCTGGGTCGCAGCCCTGGCGCCACTGCGTACGCCTGCCCTGAGGGCTCCGAACAGCTCCTCCCACCATGCCTCGGTTCTGTCATCTGTAAAATGGGTGTATGCAGAGTGGAAGGAAATGACCCTTAAATGAATAGCACAGTGCTTGCCTGCCACATCCTGGGCCCCAGTGAGACTCACAGTTGAATGACCGTAACTAGTGCGCACAGGCTGAAACTGATGGGACCCAATGTTGCGTCCCAGGTATCCCCCCAACCTCGCCCTCCCACCACTGCGTCGAACTAAACCGCCACTTCTCATCAGATTTCAGACCTCCTTCATTGCCCCGTGTGCTGGGCTCGTAGCAACTGAGAGAACTCTTCAGATGAACACCAAAAACCGAAGACATGCAGAAGAGCTGTTTAGAAGAGAAATTCCCCTCTCGTTCCAGGCACAATGCTCAGGTTCCCTTCTGTTGCAGGCTAGCGAGCCAGCGCCGTGAGGATTTATGGCTCCGTGGAGATGGGCGAGTATGATACAAGAGAATCCAATTTACTCCTTAAAGCGAGTCTTCCATCTCCTGGGGATAAATTGCTCCCGCAAGGGGGTGGAGAGTGTTAATGTTAGGTAATACATTTCAGGACGAGGGACCTCTGTCTCAAC